CCGGCCTTAGACATAAAGGACAGAAAATCTCGGCGCGAGAGCATGCGAGAGTATCGATACTTCGTTCGGCTGTGACAAGATCGATGCTGATATATCGAGAGGTCGAAGAAGAGAGAGAGAGAGGCATCGATATTCACCGGATTCACCCGTCGGAGTACTCCGGAGTAGTCCGGAGCACCGGAATCTGAAGTCAATGACCACCGCCGCCGGCTACAGCTGGTCGTGAGTCTGGCGGAGCGATTCGAAAGCGATGACGATCGTCGCGTACGTCGAAGCGACGGGCCGTTGTCAATAATGAGAAAACGAGATTTACGGGATATCGCTGCATCGGATCTGTACACGCGCCTGCCTGCACATATCAACGCCGCGGTGTCGCACGCCCACTGAATGCTGATAAGAGGCCGCGATTAGATCCGTGCAGCTCTCACGCCGCTGGACAGCTGGACCCCTGCTTGGTGTCACATCAGTCACATGTGCTACGAAAATGAGCATCCTGCGAAAGAGGTAAGCGAGGTACCTGCGCGAGATGTTCCCCGATTCGATTTGTTTCATGTGTCTGTTTACCTGTGGATTGTTTACAGATTAAGCGAGTTCGACGATGTTCTCGATGCAGACGAGATAGATACGGTCAGCCTCAGTAAAATATGTTTCCATGGTACGCCTGTCACTGTACATACAACTGATAGCGAATTCAGTCACTTGCACTACTAAATAAGTGTATACTAAAAGCTGCAGTAAATGATGAATTAGTTACATATAAAAGTATATAAATATTTTAAATGATGAAATATCCAATAATGATATTGTCATATTATTTAACAGAACATACATGTATTATTTGATCGTCAAATTTGATTATACTTTATTGTATTTAGATACTTTATATAGGCCTGTTCTTTTGAGCTAAACTTCTTGCATGATTCATCTTTCTTCTTTTTCTCTCCATGTTGGAGAAATTGAATAAGATTAAGTTAAGATCAAGATTACACTTAATCATATATTGGTGGAAAACCACCAATTGTAGTCATTGGCAGGAACGTTTAAGAAATTCAGCTAAAAAAAACAAGTCTTTTGTTTTGTTCATTGCGGATACGATAATGATATGTTTATGAGCTTTCATTAATCATTTTAATACTAATAATCTAATAATAATGATCCTCTTGCATTCTTTCTTATATCTCAGGCATACCTGACGAGCCCGGTGGGCTAAGGCCCTTATGTTGGAAACTGTTATTGAACTATTTGCCACCGATAAAGTCTAATTGGATAGAGACTTTAAAACGTAAAAGAGAGTTGTACAATACTTTCATCGGTGAGAAAATATTTTTTGTGTCATTTATTAACCCTTTATCACTTGTGTGAAGGATATTTCAGCCTCATAAATTCCTTAAATATTCATAAAGGATGTATAGAATATTATTAATCTTTATTTAATTATAAATCATCAAAGAAGACAGTGAAAATTAAAATATAATATTGGAATGTCAGAAATACTCCACGCAAGTAATTATGTTAAAAAGACCACATGGAAATTTATGTATGTTTTTGAATTTGATGGTTTCACAGAGGATCTCATTGTTATGCCTGGAGAATCAAATACCGATGACAAAGAGCGAGTTGATGTAACGTTACATGATCATCCTCTCAATTTAAATCCAGATAGCAAGTGGCAAACGTACTTTAAAGATAATGAAGTTCTACTTCAGATTGATAAAGATGTTAGGTAAGAGTATCGAATTATATAAATATTCTGAAAACTTTTTTTCTGAAGCATTAATAAAAACACAAAGAATCAGAAAAATAAATTTTACGTGTACAGGCGACTATGTCCAGACATATCATTTTTTCAACAAGGCACTGATTATCCATGTCAAAAGATAGTAAATGCTAACGGTCAGCGTTTACACCACAGAGTTCAACACACAGTGCTGAAAAGCGCAAACGTTGAGAGGAAGGGCTTAGGAGTGACCAAGGTAAAAAACTACAAACGATTAAAGCTTCCATCACTAATTTTTTTGTTGAATTTATTAATAGATTTTACTTATCTTTGCCCTTACGTTGACATGGAAAGCAGCAGGTATTATAAACGATGCAAGTAGAGTAATAAATTCTACCTAAGATAACTTTAAAAACAATCTTTATATTTTTATATCTTGTGTATTATAGGTCGGTATTCATAGGCACATCTTATATTCGAAACCGTCTTAAATACAGTCTTAAAAAGTCACAAACCAAACAGGACCGTATTAGCATCTGAAGACATTACTTAAGGGGATGTTGGTGCCGCCTGTATTACCGATAAAACTAGCATTTTTGATCCTGTCGAATTTTTTCGTAGTAATTTCACAGAATAAAAATTCTTTTTCCACGATTAAAATGTACATGCTAATGTATTTGTCGCTGATGTATTTCGTATCCAAAGCTAAAAGAAATTAAAAATTACAGATTTTTAATCCATTTTTATCTCAGCATGGCGACCAACGCTAAAGATAAAATGGATAAAGAAGTAATTTTTAATTTCTTTTAGCTTTGGACACGAAATACACCAGCGACAAATACATTAGCATGTACATTTTAATCATGGAAAAGAAATTTTTATTCCATGAAATCACTACGAAGAAATTCGATAGGAACAAAAAAACATCAAAAACGCTAGTTTTATCGATAATCAGGCGGCTCTCCTTAAGACAGTTTTGAAATAAAAACGGACTATGAATATCGCCATAAACAAAGAAGATAGTTCCATAACATCCTGCAGATACAGCTCACGTTACTACATTACATTACTATATTTTATTTATTAGATAGCGGTTTCTGTCAGAAAGGCTACGGAAGATTACGCGCCATTGTCCGAAGGTGGTGAAGCACATTGGGAAGTTTTGGAAAGAATACTCTTCTTATACGCTAAATTGAATCCCGGTCAAGGTTACGTACAGGGAATGAATGAAATAGTTGGACCTATATATCACGCATTCGCTTGTGATCCAGATCCTACATGGAGAAGTATATATTATATGAAAGCAATTGTAATGCATAAATGACATCTGCTGATAACGATATCTATATATCTACTTTATGTTTCTTAGAACACGCCGAGGCAGATACTTTTTTCTGTTTTACTAATCTGATGGCCGAAATACGTGATTTCTTTATAAAGACGTTGGATGAAGCTGAATTTGGAATTAATTCGATGATGAGCAAATTGACCAATCAAGTTAGAGCCAATGATCCTGATATTTGGTTGCGTTTACATCAGCAAGAGCTATGCCCACAATATTACAGCTTTAGGTAATACTATAGTATATCGATGATCATCGTTATCGTCATACTTATGATTCTCATTGTTGACTCTCTCTAATTGCAACTTGTTATTCTTGTGCTTGGAATAAGATGGTTGACGCTCCTCCTTTCGCAAGAATTTCCTCTGCCGGATGTCATGAGGATATGGGATTCCTTGTTTGCTGATGAGAATAGATTTAGTTTCCTCATACATATCTGCTGTGCTATGATCCTGTGAGTAAACAAATTTTATCATGTCTTTGGAAATAATTTTCGTCATTCTTTTAGCATATGTGTATGTATTTTTAGATTACTCAGGGACCAGTTACTGGCCGGCGACTTTGCTACAAATGTTAAACTCCTACAGGTGAGAAATATAAACATGTTTTATTAATATATATGTGCATTTATAATAGATTTCTGTTATTATTACCAGAATATAGTAAGGTGCGTCATGTCAAAAATAATATGTTCTATGTCTAGAATTTTCCCTCGATGGACATCCAGATTGTGCTTTCTAAAGCCGCTGCTCTGGCAGGCAAGACTTTATAATTTTCGTAATTAATTAAGAACACGGACAAGATGCAATAATTTCTCGGTATGTCAAATATCATGATTTTCCTCCTCTCCTTTCCTAAATTGTTGCAACCATATGCGCGTGATATATCGTAAAGTGCCCTGGTGAAAAAAATTTCGCTGAAATTATTTCACGATTTGGAACATTTCAACGAAATTGCTGAAAATTTGCTAAAATTTCACTAAAAGTGAATTTTTCGGCTAACATACTGAAAAATCACTGAAATTTCTCTGAAATTTTATTGAAAATAAACTTTTCAGCTAAAAATCGCTGAAACTAAACTAAAATTTTTCTGAAATGCTGAAATTTTTCCAAAAAGTGTTTCAAAATATGGAATAATTTCAGCGAAATTTTTCCACCAGGGTGTAATTTTATACACCATCGTCATTCCCGAAAGGAGAGAAATGCAATGAAATATCAATTATAATATAATATCATGTAGATGTTCGAGTTGATAGTCGATCTTATATCAAATATTTAACAGCTGTATATATGATACATACTCTTATATGTGAATACTGAGATCTGTATACAGCATTTTGCCAGATGTTAAATCTTTTGATATATGCATATATAGAGAGTATATTTGTGTATATACATAATGTTAATATTGGATGTAACATGTGGAAGTCAAAATGTAAATTTATACAAAAGATATGATAATCATTTCGCAAACGGCAGATAATAAAATGAAGATTAATGCCATTTCTACCAATATAGATTAACTTTAATCTCAGTTTAACTATTGTTTATCTTTTTCTATATAGAATTAGAGAAATAGATAAGGAGTAAATTAAATTGAGATTAAAATTAATCTACATTGGTAGAAATAGGCATAAATTGAAAAGGGAAATCTGATTTAAGCTTTCCCGATTGTCCAATACAACATGAATTTTGCAATAATCGCATCGCAATAGATTAGTACCATTTATACGCGCCATAGTAATTACGCGATACATTAAGAGGAGAAATTAAATTTTGTAATCTTATTTTTGTAATAAAATGCGCCGTTCGAACTACGTTTATAAAATAAAGGGAAATGTTATCAGTTCTCCATCAGGTTTATACATACGAATTGCCATATTCCATCCTATATACCATATATCTCTATAATCAGATTACTTTGCAAACGATCAATGACATAATTCGAACCTTCTAATAGAAATATGCATTTTTCATTCTACTTGCGAGAGAGATTCTAATAGAATCATTTTACTTGCCATAGAGTGAGTGAGTAAGACAGAAAGCGATGATCATTATTGGATTAATAAAGTCGTCGCCTTCCCTAGCAGAGTAAACCGAATTTCCAGAATTTATTTCATCTCGTCTCTCATACACACACACTCTCTGTGGAGTAGAATGATTGACCCAGACGAGACGGCGGGAATATTAATCAGGATACATCTCGGTTATTCACGTCGAAGCTACGCGAACATCTTTCATCGCGGTCTGCAATAGATGTATACCGAAATTATTATCGAAAAACAATAAAGAACCGAAAAAAATTACATGATTAAGGGGGAACTATACAAGAAAATTTTTCGCTTATATCTGCACGAAATTAACAATGAAAAATTTTGAACTTTCCAGCAATTTGGGTTTTTGAGCTTCAGTGCAGATTTTTATATCGTTCTGAATTGTATAGATCTGAAAAAATTCGTGCCTATTTGTAAAGGCTTTAGCAACGAATTTTTATTATTGTAAAAGTCGGATTGTATTTCACTTATTTTTTACAAATTTAATTTTATCAGAATTCACGATAAAAATATCGATTATACCTTTAAAGTCCAAGTTTGCCGACGAAGTATTAAAAATAGCGCAAAATGATATTCCTGCGTGTAAACAGCATAGAAAATTACGGAGGCTGCGATTCAACCGACGTTCCTCTTTATCACCAACGACCACCGACACGCTTTGTTGGAGGACCAGACATCCAGTCGTCGCGGCCTGGACCCCCGGCGTGGCGAATCGTTGCCGTATCACGAGATTTTAAGGATAGGCGCGATTCGAATACCGTGCACAAAAGTCGCGCGAGGTCCCGGCGAAAAAGCACCCGCGCTCGTGTGGGTGGACTTTTATAGCGGTTGATTACCTGATTTATAATCTCAGTTCGCGCGGGGGCTCATCCGAGGCTTGGCGATGGCAGTCTGGCTTTCGATCGAGCCCGCAAATCATCGTCGCGTTTTAGAGACGCAGAATATTCTTTTTTCGATTCTAACTTGCCGAATATCGATATTTGAATAGTATCCGAAGTAAAGCATGCAATATTTATTCAGTACTTACAATTAGGAAAAAAACATTGGTAGCAGTTATATAAGTAATAACTATACAAATTTTCTATTACACGGAAACAACGATTTTTTGGATTTTTTGCTAAAAGATATAAAATTTTGCTGAATATAAACCTGAAAATAATTTTGTTAAAAACTCAAACTAATTACTAGAATAACAAAATTTTGTGCAGCATATTTTGATTATATCACGATAACGTCAAATAATGTTAAAATAAACCGTGATATATTGATCGAAAAGTGCTTTTTAATAATTATTTGAAATCATTTTGATGTCCTTATGACTTTGTTTAGCTTAGGTATGTAGAAATAATGTACATAGTTGAATAAATTATTTTATATGATTACAATAACTATTATTTAATCAGTTACATACATTAATTTTACATATTATATTTGTACAGTTATTACCTATACAGTTGCCACTATCTCACCATCTTTTTTTCTAAATGTCGATCGAGACTATGTCTGATATGTTTGATGTGCACGGATGACAAGTATAGTGCAACCATAATAGTGACCTGACGGCAATCAGGGTCTAATGAAGAGTAAGAGGATCCAGGAGCCGCGGGCTCTATAAAACCGTACAAAAACTAGGCGACAGTAGATACCTATACCTATACAAACCATAAACACGCCCCTCGTCATTAGGGTCGAAGCTCGAAATTTACTTTGGTCATCCCTCTCGCCGCCATTTCTCGGCTAATCAGAGATCGCGGATTTTATGATCGTTGATGCGATCGTTAAAGAATATACGCGCCAGGAAGACGGCTGCCGTCTTCTGGTAGTCGGGGATTCATCAGAGTTCGCGTATCGCCCGAGGATAGACCCTCGTTCTTTTTATTAAAGCGGAATCCGGGGTCGAAACAGTTCTCGGTGATTACACTATATTCCATTTATGATTACGAAAAAATAATAGAGAGAGAACATATCTAAAGATGCCACCCTAAAAGTATGTCGTTCGTTATTTGAGACTTAATGCTTTTTAATGCGTTTTTACAACCGTCGGAAATATGAAAGTACACGGAAAAAACAATTTTGTTGAAATTATACTTTTAAAATTTTGGAAAAAAACCGTTTTTTCCAATTTTTTCGCTGATTTTCTCGATTTCTTTCCCATAGTTAGAAAAATTCGTTGGAAAAATTTATGCGTGTCCGTAAGATCTGCCATATTTGCTTCTTTCCGAAAAGAAAATAATTTTAGTTTCTTTTCTGCAATTTGAAAAAAAACGGCTTTTTTAAAACTATAGTTGAAATACCTAGCTAAAAAAATTTAGCTAAATACAGATCTGAAAAGAATCCTAATTGTAAGATGTCTACGAGCAAAATTTTTAAATTACTTGTGATATTATTACTCCGATTTAGGGCTGTATTTCAAGACCGACTAATAATCGACACACAGTTAGCTTGAACTGGAAATAAATTCACAAAAGAAATATGATTAGACATTGCACGAAGAACTGACCTAATATGACCTTTTTTACTTACGCGTATTTAATATTCACATCAGTTGATTTTTTCTTAATGTTGAAAAGAATTTTGTTGATCATCAAAATAATTATGTGGATAACTCAAACATGAGCAATGCTGTAAAAATTTTTGATATTCTAGTAATCAGCATCGTACATAATTACGTGAATGAGTCAATTATTAAAATAGTCTTAATATTGCACTTATATATTATATCTTTATTTTTAGGATAAAATTGAGATAATCTATTGACTTATCGTATTCTGATTTTAATAAAATGATTTTCAGATTTATATCTAACTATATTTTTAGATATTTTATATTTAAAAACTGCAGTTCTTTTCATGTAAGATTTTTCGCGAACTCTTCACATGAGGTTCCGAGAATTCTGTATACGTCACTGGCGCGGGGCTCTCGAATTTGTGTCGAATTCACGAGTTACCAGATCTCTCCCACATCAGCCCGAAGAGGTGACATACGAAGCCATAGGGTTGACGAATGTGCCAAGATCGGCCGAGGATGACTCGGCAGATTGTTGTTCGCCAGCGTTCCCAGCGGTGGTCCCGGTGCGCCTGCATACAGCTTTGGATTGATGGATCCTGACCTCTCAAAGGAGGGCTTCGGCACGCCTTTCGGAAGATGATAGATTCATGTGCGACCTAATACGGACTGGGGAATCGCGAGAGGGAATTTACCGATCGACCCACCAATCTATCCTGTTTCGCTTGTGCTGAAGTTTTCGATTCTCGATTCTTCCAGCGTCTGAAAAATTTTTGCGGCGTCTCGGCAACACCATCAGACGATAGCATAACTTTCTTTGACTCTGTTTAGTATTATAGAAAAAGCAGCCTTGCAACTAGTTGTTATAAGATTCCATACAGCGCAGAAGTTTGCAGTACACAGTTTAGGTTCAATAAAAAACTAATAAGGATAAAAACCATTAAAAAATCCCATAAATATAGGTCACATTTCAGCAACATTGCAAAGTTCTAGCAATATTGTAATAACATCGAAAATGTTACAATAATGGCTGCGTTCAGCAGAGAAAATTAATCAGTTAGCGTTTAGTGATTCTTTAATATGATTGGTTCTTGTCTTTAGTTCTTCGCAAAATCTAAGTGTAGGAACTAATCGTATTAAAGAATCACTAAGCGCTAACTGATTAGTTTTCTTTGCTGAACACAGCCAATGTTGCTGGAACGTCGCAATGTTGTTGCAATGGTCTGTTCTTTTTAGCTGAATTTCTTGCACAATTTATCTTTCTTTCTTTTCCCCACATTGGAAAAAAAAGAGAAAAGAGAAATAAACTGTACAAGAAGTTTAGATAAAAAAAAC